TAATTACTGGCTGGCACCGAGCACTTCACCACCCGATGCGTCTTTTGTGGGCTGCAGAACACAGCGCCAACCCACTGCCGCAATTACAGAGAGCGAGCCGGTGACATAACTCGGAGGGAATGTGCAGGACCGTCAACACCCGACATGGAGGGAGTGCGATAACCTGTACCGACCAATGGGAAGCCGCCTGACACCAGGAAATGTAAAATTAGCTGCTTGTTGTCCTCCGACCTCACATTACAGATGATGGAGAGAAAATAGAGACTCGGCTCCCCGCTCATTCTTCCCAAAAGAGTGTATGTGCATTTCAAGCTGATCTCCGTCCTCCCCTTCAGTCTTCTATCTGACCTCCGTCCTCCCCTTCAGTCTTCTAGCTGACCTCCGTCCTCCCCTTCAGTCTTCTAGCTGACCTCCGTCCTCCCCTTCAGTCTTCTAGCTGACCTCCGTCCTCCCCTTCAGTCTTCTAGCTGACCTCCGTCCTCCCCTTCAGTCTTCTAGCTGACCTCCGTCCTCCCCTTCAGTCTTCTAGCTGACCTCCGTCCTCCCCTTCAGTCTTCTAGCTGACCTCCGTCCTCCCCTTCAGTCTTCTAGCTGACCTCCGTCCTCCCCTTCAGTCTTCTAGCTGACCTCCGTCCTCCCCTTCAGTCTTCTAGCTGACCTCCGTCCTCCCCTTCAGTCTTCTAGCTGACCTCCGTCCTCCCCTTCAGTCTTCTAGCTGACCTCCGTCCTCCCCTTCAGTCTTCTAGCTGACCTCCGTCCTCCCCTTCAGTCTTCTAGCTGACCTCCGTCCTCCCCTTCAGTCTTCTAGCTGACCTCCGTCCTCCCCTTCAGTCTTCTAGCTGACCTCCGTCCTCCCCTTCAGTCTTCTAGCTGACCTCCGTCCTCCCCTTCAGTCTTCTAGCTGACCTCCGTCCTCCCCTTCAGTCTTCTAGCTGACCTCCGTCCTCCCCTTCAGTCTTCTAGCTGACCTCCGTCCTCCCCTTCAGTCTTCTAGCTGACCTCCGTCCTCCCCTTCAGTCTTCTAGCTGACCTCCGTCCTCCCCTTCAGTCTTCTAGCTGACCTCCGTCCTCCCCTTCAGTCTTCTAGCTGACCTCCGTCCTCCCCTTCAGTCTTCTAGCTGACCTCCGTCCTCCCCTTCAGTCTTCTAGCTGACCTCCGTCCTCCCCTTCAGTCTTCTAGCTGACCTCCGTCCTCCCCTTCAGTCTTCTAGCTGACCTCCGTCCTCCCCTTCAGTCTTCTAGCTGACCTCCGTCCTCCCCTTCAGTCTTCTAGCTGACCTCCGTCCTCCCCTTCAGTCTTCTAGCTGACCTCCGTCCTCCCCTTCAGTCTTCTAGCTGACCTCCGTCCTCCCCTTCAGTCTTCTAGCTGACCTCCGTCCTCCCCTTCAGTCTTCTAGCTGACCTCCGTCCTCCCCTTCAGTCTTCTAGCTGACCTCCGTCCTCCCCTTCAGTCTTCTAGCTGACCTCCGTCCTCCCCTTCAGTCTTCTAGCTGACCTCCGTCCTCCCCTTCAGTCTTCTAGCTGACCTCCGTCCTCCCCTTCAGTCTTCTAGCTGACCTCCGTCCTCCCCTTCAGTCTTCTAGCTGACCTCCGTCCTCCCCTTCAGTCTTCTAGCTGACCTCCGTCCTCCCCTTCAGTCTTCTAGCTGACCTCCGTCCTCCCCTTCAGTCTTCTAGCTGACCTCCGTCCTCCCCTTCAGTCTTCTAGCTGACCTCCGTCCTCCCCTTCAGTCTTCTAGCTGACCTCCGTCCTCCCCTTCAGTCTTCTAGCTGACCTCCGTCCTCCCCTTCAGTCTTCTAGCTGACCTCCGTCCTCCCCTTCAGTCTTCTAGCTGACCTCCGTCCTCCCCTTCAGTCTTCTAGCTGACCTCCGTCCTCCCCTTCAGTCTTCTAGCTGACCTCCGTCCTCCCCTTCAGTCTTCTAGCTGACCTCCGTCCTCCCCTTCAGTCTTCTAGCTGACCTCCGTCCTCCCCTTCAGTCTTCTAGCTGACCTCCGTCCTCCCCTTCAGTCTTCTAGCTGACCTCCGTCCTCCCCTTCAGTCTTCTAGCTGACCTCCGTCCTCCCCTTCAGTCTTCTAGCTGACCTCCGTCCTCCCCTTCAGTCTTCTAGCTGACCTCCGTCCTCCCCTTCAGTCTTCTAGCTGACCTCCGTCCTCCCCTTCAGTCTTCTAGCTGACCTCCGTCCTCCCCTTCAGTCTTCTAGCTGACCTCCGTCCTCCCCTTCAGTCTTCTAGCTGACCTCCGTCCTCCCCTTCAGTCTTCTAGCTGACCTCCGTCCTCCCCTTCAGTCTTCTAGCTGACCTCCGTCCTCCCCTTCAGTCTTCTAGCTGACCTCCGTCCTCCCCTTCAGTCTTCTAGCTGACCTCCGTCCTCCCCTTCAGTCTTCTAGCTGACCTCCGTCCTCCCCTTCAGTCTTCTGTCTGACCTCCGTCCTCCCCTTCAGTCTTCTATCTGATCAGGAAATCAGACGTCACTGCTCACCTGCGCCCTCCATCTTCAGTAGGAACATGTCGGTGTGGACGGTCCCTTTATCTACGTCCTTCTTCACCCTCTGGAAAGAAATGATTACAGTCAGCGATCACAAATCAGACGCACGGTGAAAATGTTCTGTACCGGCACCGGATCTCGGAGATGCCGCCACCCAGCCCACTGCCGCCCTTCTCAACCTGGTCACCCCGGAGGAACCACTGAAGTCTTGCCCATGGATCAGGGAAGTCCCTACTGAAATGTTTTATCAGGATCAGGAAGTTATCAATATATTTATAGATAAAAGAATGGAAAACCCGGAGGAAGTGACACCCAAAGTGGATCATTTCTAAC